AATAATGCCTTCAAAGTTATCTATCGCATTCCATCGAGTCTTTTGAACGGAATCAGAACCCGTCTTTTACACTTATCCGAAATTATGGGAATTCGAGAGAACAATCCTAGTCTTTGCATACAAATGAACTTTGTTCTACCTTTATCTCTCCCTTGGCCTAGGTGAATTCTATTCAAAACCCTCCCACCCTTTCTTATCATCCCTCTCCTTCGTACGTTTATGATATTTATTTAAACTCTGACTATCTGTTCACTTCACCTTTTAAGATTTAACCGAATTTATTTATTTATTGAATTGTCTGCATATACACATATACATATACTACGTTTGTTATTCTTATCACCTGCAAAAAGCTTATTATCAATATTTTGTTATCATTATAATCATCGTTATTAATTTCGTTCAAAACATTTACCGCATTATTATTACTATTTTTATTATGATTATTATTATTATGATTACTATTATTATTTGATCCACAAAATCACCGTCATTAGTTAAAAATTTTTATGTGTAAATCTATGTAAATTAGGGTAAAGCTTGAAGAAGATCTAATTGAAAACAATATTGTTCGCTTATATGTCTTGTTCTAACATTATATTCGTCGAGTAAGCCATGCCAAAAATACAGAAGTTAACGTCTTGATCGAAAAAGCATTACCCCATAGTTTAACCTTCGCTTGTGAATTCGTCTCATTTGTCATCGGAGATGTTTTGACCAGATGAAAAGGGAAACATAAGAGGGATTAGATCCATAGTTATTTCTTGGATTTTAGAATATATGGCCTACGGTGTGATATGGAAAATAGATTCAGTCTTTTTTGTGATTCTGCATATAATAAATAAGCGGTATCAGGAAATGTACGTGTGAAGGGGTGCTTGAACCCTTCCCAATATATATATGAGTCTAAAACAATTAATCCATTTTATAAATTTGGATAGCGTTATTAGAAGACGGAGATTACCTGAAAGATATGATGTATTTGCACTATGTATTCCGAAAACAATCTGAGCAAACATTTACTTGTCAAGTTGATTTATATACTACGGGGAGTCTATTAGAACCTTTGTTTACGGACATTTACATATCTTATGTTGAGAACTTGTCCTTTGGTTTAATTTTAAAATTGCCCTTTTATAGGAAACATGTAGATGATATCATTTGGATATGCGATGATCATGAAGATGCGAGTCGTCTATTAGATATACTTAACTATGTACAGAATCATATAAGTCTGACATGTGAGGAAGAAAGTCGCAACCAGCTTGCATTTTTAGACATACTTCTGATTCGAAGAGATGATGCTTCGATATGACGATCAATCTACAGAAAGCCCACTTGGAAAGGGCAGTTTCTGTCCATTACAGTATAAAAGAGGCTTAGTGAATTATCTATTAAAGAGGATTCAACGTATTTGCACGGTTGATGTTATAGACAAAAAAAGAAATATTGACGGATAATCTTGTTGAAAATGGATATCCTTTAAAATTTTTAAACAGGTGTAGAAGTTAACTGGTCTCTAAACCTGCAATCCATATCACCCCTAGGAAAAATGTGTTTTCATCAAATTACCATATAACGGGGTAATAAACAGTAGGATTTTGAGACAAAAGTTGAAATCGATCATCCGTAGAATCTATTATGCAGCCCAGCTTGTAATTGTCGAAAAAATATGCTTCAGTGCAAACCTCACAAGTGCACAAGTGATTACGTCACATCCCACACTATTTACCAATGTACGTGTGTGTGGCCATACATACATAGGGAGGAGTAATCGTGCTTTGCATGTAAGAATGGGAGAGTATATCCCAAAATTTGTGTACAAAAGAAGTATGTACAATCCCTACTGCTGCCTTGGCCGTAGAGGGATAGACATTTATTTTATTATTTTATGTACTTTTCCCTTATTACTTCGATTATTATTATTATTATCATTATTATTATTATTACGACTCTCATTCTGAATCTTTTCCACTTGATCTACTCGACATTTTAAACCAAAAAATTATTCATGTGTATACTTTTTATCTTTATTTTTACAATATTAAATTCTATGTTATCAAATTTCACACCATATTACGTAACATTTTACATTCGTCTATTAATCTTACAGTTATATGCCTCTCCCCAATATCCCAAAATGGTTAGAAAAACAAATGAATTGTGAAAAATGAATAAATGCAGGTATCATACTACCGAATTCGTCTATAGCTAAACATCTAATCGAGATGAACCATAAGATTGATGTTAACTCACTCTTTAAGGTCATCTATAAAAACAGTCAAGGGCGCTTACTGAAATATGCCGAGACTATAACTATTCATAAACTTAGGCCCCCCACCCCACCCTGTAAATTCAAAAACAGTTTACTATTACTCTTAACCTACCTTGATTGGATTACGAAATGTTGTGTTAATCTTTTTGCAACTATCCTGGCAAATCTTGATCACAGTTCATATGAGTTGTGTTAATCATTCTTAAATCCTTTTTGTGACAAAACAATTCCAACAGTGGTGTGAACACGGGCAGTAATTTTGCTCGAAATATTACCAATAACAAAACTTATCATTGTGTGTAAACTATTAAAATATAATTATACTTTATTTGATCTAATCCACAATGCTCAAACTTTTTACTGATATTAACTTTTTTGTGACATTTGTTTAATTCTAATTACCCTTAATTTTTTCATATATATCTACTTGACAAGTAAATGTGTGATCAGATTGTTCGAAATGTATAGCGCAAATACATCACATCGCTTTTCAGATAATCTCTGTCCTCTAATAACGCTTTCCAAATACATAGCCTCCTTTTTAGACTTGGCTAGGCTTCTGGGTATAGTTCTTGTACGGAAAATTGACTAGAAAAACATATTCATATGTAGTCTTTTGATATGTTCCCTCTTCAATCTTTGAATATTTAAATCATTTAAACAGACAGACATAACACTAAGCTGGAATATGGTCATATATCTAACAGTTATACAAACAAACGCTTTACCCCAGATCCATTTTTATATAAGCTACAATTTACTACCCTTACACGCGGGAATTTTTACAACTCTTTGGAAGACAATGATTCATGTGAAAATGTTCTTAAACATATACATTTCTCAGTGTCTGTATTAAATAAAACCATGACATGACATGAACAAAACATTGAAAGATAAATATGCTTTAGATTTCCTACGTAAAAGTTGAATGGATAATGTGGGGGCATCAGTTACTCTACATTATATAGCCCAGTATCTCAACTTAATGGACGTAATCTTTTGCCTACAATACTGTCACGTATTCAGCAGAAACATTAATTTGTCACTTCCTTTCAGCTTTAATATCAGAGAATTTGATCTATGGGTGTAAATCTATGCGTCAAGCGTATCCAAACGCCGAAGTCAATCATCCTCTCAAGTGAAGTTCATGTTTACACAATTCTAACTAAAGTTTACTTAGATATCATCAAACGAATATTCACACACATTCATCTCTTATATTACCTTTGGAATTTCCTTCTCAGTAGGAAATCGGTTTGGAAATCTTCTCCACTCAGCCAGCATGAACAACAAGATTCAGCTTTTCAACGCGAATGTTAAGTCACTTATTCTATATGGGTCAAAAACTAGGTGCTCACTTCAAGTAAAGCATTTTGAACAGGCCACTCTAGACTTTTATCAACAGCTACCTTTATTATTATTATTATTATCCTCTTGAGTTCCGAGTGGAATTTAAGGCTTCAACAACACATCTCCACTTTCTTCAATTTTCTGCCATCCTTTTCAGCTGGGTCCACGATTCCCCATAATCTCTTATCTCCTCCTCACACGATCACCTCCATATCACCCTCACACCTCACGACCCACTCGTCGCTTCCCAATTGGATTCCGCTTGAGCAACAGCCTGCATTGTGCGCGATGTTATTCGACGATTTCCTAAATGTATACCCGATCCATCTTCATTTTCTCCTACATATTTTCATGAGTAATCGGCTCCTAGTTGGTTTATTCAGACACAGTTTCTTTTTGCTGATTCTTTCTGGCCATATAGAACTGGTTCCATACTCAAGATCAAACGGTCAGAAAGAATAAGTAACAAGAAACTGTGCTTCGGTGGCACAGTGGTTAGGACTCTCGCCGACCATGCAAATGGTTCGAGGTTCGATCACCTGCCGACGCACACATGATATCTATGGTCGGCCTGCAAAATTTGGGTTACCGATATCACATACTGAAAATTCCATACTTGTACCAAGAATACAGTGTAGAATCAAGCTGTAATAAAAAAGAGCCTATCGTTCAACAGATATGCAGGATAAAATGGAGATGGACTAGGCACACGCTGAGGAGACCATCAAATGACGTCGGGCGCCAATCCTTCTAGTGGAACCGGAATAGGAAACGACTAATGGACTGTCCTAAGGTGACATGGGGGAAATCATGTGAGGAGGAGATGAAGGTATATGAAAAATCGCCAGCCCAGCTGAAGAGGAGGCTAAAGAAATAGAACGACATAGAGAAGTGTTGTTGAAGTCCTATGTTTCACCCGGAACTCAAAGGAACAATAATAATAATAAGGTAAGTAACACTTAAGTAGTTATATTGTTCTGTTATTGAGAAGACACAGAACAAAAGGGGGAGAATTCAAAGATTTTGAAAGTACCTCCAATGTATTGATATGTAACCACTTATTCCAATCACTCAAATGGAATTAGTTGAGGACAGGACTCGCATATTCTCTACTTCCTCATGAAGGTGTCCTTCTTTATCAATCGGTATTAACACAGATCTGTGTATGAGTTGACCTGAAAATTGTATGATTTAATATGTAAAGCCTAAGTATAATGGACGTACATTTGGTCACCAATAATTACTGAGATTGGATTTCTTCATAACAAGGTAACCAGGTATACAATATATATATATATATACTCAAGAAAAATAAAGTCGTACAAAAAATCTTCTACTCATGAATTGACAAATCTGAAGTTATTTTCCTGCAGAAATGCATTCACTGATTTTTACTTCACTTGTCGTACTATCGACATGTTCCACTCTGCTTTCTTGTGTCCGTGGAGAAATGAACGACACATTAAGAAACTTGTTACTATCTCTGCATAACAATGCAAGAGAAGCAGCAAGACTTGGTCTTCTCAAAGGACAACCGAAAGCCATTTCCATGAAACCAGTGGTAAGTTGAAGTTTTTTTATGTTTTTAATGTTTTTTTAACTAATAAATTTCAGTGCGATATTTGTTACAGTATTTTGTCTGTTAAAGTGATGAAATTATTGGTATTAGATGGTTGGAGGCAATCGGCCACATGAAGCCTTGGATCTAGGTTTCGTGCTTATTGGCACTCACCAGTGAGAAAGGCATATCTGCAACTACCTTGGAGGAACTCATGTCCCTTCTGAGATTCGAACCTGCGTCACCCATTGCCACCTGCAGTCAGAGACAGACGTTACTACTGAGCTGTTCAGACTCGAGATTGACCTGCTGTAGGACTTTACTGGATATTTTTGATTGCACACTAGTCTGTAACTAGTGTAATGTGTCTAGTCCTATCTTAGTTGCAGGGTCCAAGGCTTCCTGTGGCTGACTGCCTCCAACCATCTAATACCAACAATGCACAGTGCATCGTAATGGAGAGCCACCTAGCGTGGTGGCCACATTGCAAGCTTGACTGATAGAATTCAGTCTGCAGCGAAGATAGGACAAGACACATTACACTAGTTACTGACTAGTATGCAATGGTGAAAGTATGCTCAGGTGGAAAAAAGAGATTCATCTGTAAAGAGCATGAAAGACTTTACATTGAATTTATGCGTCATTTACTGGGGGATTTCTTAAATTTAGTCTGGTTAAATACTATAGTGATTATATATGTCCAAACCAAGTTCACTTTTAACGGTTTGAAAAATTTGGGCATTGGGTATATGATATTCATAATAATAAAGTTTTTCATATTTCCCAAAGAATGGAAAACAACATCGTTTGGTTTTCATTCATTGGGAAATACAAAAAAAACGTTATTATTATAACTGTAGTGATTAAGTGTAATTTTTTTTATAATAGTAGTATTAGTATTTCGAGATGACCGAAATACAAGAATTCAACCAAAACACAGAGAGGGCGGAATTCAGGAATTTGTATTTAGCGGAATTATTATTCAATTCATATAAGAAATATATTAACAATCAACAGTAAGTATTTAAACAATACAGAGATAGAAATAGTCAATCACCACATCTGCCACACGTCGAATATCTCCTTGTGTATTTATAATAATGTCTCGGTTTGCTTGCAAGTAGCTGCGACCTTCTAACTGATTCTGTGATATTATTTTCATCAGTATTATCTGGACTTATTTCTGAATTATCTACAAAATCAGGATTAGTAGCGGAATCATTAAAATAATAATTGGAACGACCTACTTCATTTATTGTCACTTTGTCCAGGTTTCTTATATGAACTGAGTGATCTTTGATGTCTAATATCTTCACCACTCGATTTCCCATTTTTTGTAGTATGATTCCAGCAGAAGGTCTAAAGTCATTCCCTCTTTAATGATGTACATTAGAAGTCGTGGACAGCAGATGCTTTTTGAAAATTCGAGATTTGAATAGTTTTGCAGGACTTTCATGGGTACTTGTATGCTCTGCATTCAACAGACGCAATCTATGCATATGCAGCAATTCCTCCGTTTTAATCAGTTGATCTCTCATCTCAGTCAGCTGTTGACGGATGGACAACCAGCCAGCTTCCATTTCACTCACTTTTTTCGTGTTTTCGACAGTTCGCATTGTAACTTGGCTACCTCATTTTTAAAAACACGTGATACAGTTGACGCTTGAGTTGCTGAACTTGTAGTGAAGGTTTTCATTGGATGAGGTTGAGTATTTTGAAAAGTTGAAAGACACATTGACTCCATTTTACTAGACAGATTGGGAGAATCATAAGAATTCTGAGTAACATAAGTATTCGAACTTCTGCAAACCGTCTTGATGTGTCCAACTTTACCACATTTGTGACACTTAGCACCCCGAAAACGCCAAGTGCTTCGTAGATGAATATTTCCACAAGAAAAACACAGTTTATTGTTTTTGATCTCTCGCTGCATTCTGTTACATGTGGACGACAGTTTGGATTTCTTTCCATGAACACTTGTATTTTCGACTTTGGACAGCATGACATCAGGCACTGGCGTAGTGGGAGCAGAGTATTCACTGTTGACATCTTCATATGTAATACATAAATCTTTAGCAGTTTGAAAGGTACAGGAAGGAATCTGAATTAACTCTTTCTCTAACTTAGGAATATTGATTCCAGCAATTAGACGATCACGTAGTTGTGTATGCAGCTGATCTCCAAAGCTACACTTTGAAGCTTGTATTTGGAGTTGAAGAATAAAGTCTCTTATCTTCTGCGTGGGAGCACGAACCAGCGTGTTGAATTGAGCCCTCTCTCTGGTCTCAAATGTAGTTACATGAAAATGATTGATCAGAAGTTCACGAATCTTGACATATGACAGAGAAATGGGTTTATCTGGAAACACCAGAGTCTTTACTAGGCTATATGCATCTAGCCCAATAGCAGTGATGAAATGTGCTGAAATTTTGCCATCCTGAACATTCTTTGAAATGCACCATGCATCAAAAAATTCAAGGTAATCGGTGATTTATCGCGGTGATCCATTTATAGGAAACTTTCCAAGGTTATTTAGTTCCATCGCGACGCCAAATTGTTGTAATTCTTTGTAATAGTAGTATTAGTATTTCGAGATGACCGAAATACAAGAATTCAACCAAAACACAGAGTGGGCGGAATTCAGGAATTTGTATTTAGCGGAATTATTATTCAATTCATATAAGAAATATATTAACAATCAACAGTAAGTATTTAAACAATATAGAGATAGAAATTGTCAATCATCACATTAAGACATATTTTGGTATAAGCAGTTAGTTATATTCATGGAAATGTACCTGGGTGTAGTTTCATTTCGATTATTGGTAAACATTGTTTCTAAGCCCTAACTTTAATGTTTAAGCTGTTGGATACAAGAGATGGACTGTAACAGCTGGATGCAAATTAGTTACATTGACAAACTCCTACCGGAATGTAAACCGATTACATTTGCTGTAATCAATCAATACTTCTCATCATCTTTGTCAATAAAATAAAAAAAGAAACAACTGGTTCTTATCTATGCAAGTAACACAAAATAGTGTATGGATCAATCACCTCATTGAAATATATTGAAACACTAATTTGGATAGTAATATTTATGACTTCAGACGCTAAACAATGACCAGCTCTTGTTTTATGAGGCGCTTAAATCGGTCTTCTGGTTAATAAAAAAAGTCAGACACTTTTTTTTCAAGAACGATAACAGGGTATACACTTTATTGCTCAGTGTAACCTTTGTATATGACAAAGAAGTTTGAATTATGTATTTATACAGAGTGTAAATATTTACAGTTAGCTAAGTTGAATGCTTTTCACTTAACATTTAGCCAGCTATTTATCCCTTCTTCATACAAATAAAAGACTGTTATTTTCTAGTTTTGGTTTATAAGGATTAGTTATGTTTTACGAGTTGATCACGGATTGATATCAGTTAGAGAACCATTGAAAACCAGGGAGTACTGGACAGCTGCCGTTTCATCCTAGTTTGGGAATCATCGGAAGTACGCACCCACTGGGATTCGAACCCAGGTAGAAGTTAGAATACATGAGCCATTGAATCGGGTCCCAGTGGCTGAATGGTATACGAGCTTGCCTTGTAACCGGAAGGTCCTGGGTTCGAACCCCACTATGGTGGTGCGATGATTCCCAAACTAGGATGAAACAGCAGCTGTCCAGTACTCCCTGGTTTTCAATGGTTCTCTAACGGATGTCAGTCCGTGATCAACTCGTAAAAAATAGACTGTTAGTTCTATTTAAACCAATTAGAATTAGTTTTTCACAGTTGATAACACTTATTTTACTTATTTATTTTGATCAGCGATACAATTTGGACTTGGAAGAGAAAGCACAAGATTTAGCTGATGAATGCCGTATTGGACATGATACAGCTTGGAGGCGAAGAACATCACCATTTCGCTATGTTGGACAAAATTGGGCTGGTGCACAAACAGTGGAACTGTAAGTTGTATGGTATTGTAAGTGATTTCATTTATGATTCACAAGAAAAGGTTATTTACTTACCAGGAATACTTGTTTCATATATGTAACTAAGACTTTAACGATATAAGTCGGAAGTTATAGTTTTGATATCATCCAGAAGGTGTATTTAATGAATGTGGTCAAAACATATAAACGGTGGGCTTACATCTTATCGATAGTTTTCAGAATGAATCCTGAGTATAAGGAAGAAGAATGTAGAGTTTTCGTGTGCTTATTACCAATGTTAATACAATTTCATTATCAAATAGTGAAATAAAATCGAAACAAAGCTTTGATATCTTTTTGTGGTAGACAGTGACTTGTTTCATAAGATTGTGTTATGGAACTGCAGTTTTTGATCAAATGATATGGTTGATTGACAATTGTTCGTCTTATATTACGCGATCTTGGTAATATGAACAGTTCAACTGGTCTATAACGTGGTTAAACAAAGAAGACAGAACAAGTCAAGTATGCAATTTTGATTATAGAAGACAACAGAGACCTGATAGGTGATTCAAAGATTTACTAAGTTTTTAATACAAACAGCATATAAATATTGCTGAGTTAACTGATACGGACGTGTGTCGGTGGTCGCGTAGTAGAATCCTCACCACCACTTACTTTACTTTACTTCGGCTATCTTCTACGGGAGGATGAGCCGGCTTCATGAACATCTCGAATCATCGCTACCCAGGCGCGGCGATCTGATGCAAGGTTTTGCGACAGGGTTATCCAATTCTTCTTCCACAGACGGAGTCCGTAGACGGTTTGTAGCCCCAGGCACTCCATATCAGCCTTGACTGTACCAAGCCATGTTTTCAGCTGTCTACCCCTGCGACATCGCCAAGATGGAAATGGCGACGGATTTAGAACTGATTTGACAAGATCGTCATCTGGTCGGCGCAGAACATGGCCAAACCACAGAAGGCGACGTTGTTGGACCAGTACTGGATGTTGTAGAGAGTTCATGAAGTTTCATGGGAATTAGGTACGAGTGATGTCCCCAGAATCGCTCGGCCTTTTGTTTGAGAGTGCAGCTCTAGCCTCTACACAACCAAGTATGACCTACAAGGCAGTAGGAGTGGAGTAGGGAGTCCATTATCCACCGGAGTCAGGTTCATACGCCTTTTTGAATGGGGCCAGACATCCAGGGCATCCAATAAGCCCTTTGTCCATACGTCTTCCGGTGAGCTTCATACGCCAGTCGTTGGAGGTTTGGAATCAGGGTTTAGCCATCTCCCCTAGACTGTCATCCAATGGACAGTCAACCCGGTGAAGAGCGCCGGGCATCCGCTTTTGCCCTCTCACTTCGGTGAAAAACACCTCTCCCACGTGAAGGCAGTGAGTAAGACTTCCTCAGGAGAGGCTAGGTAAGACGCCCTGTCATATGGGAGCATTTCAAGAGGTGTACGGAGGGGTGGCCAACCCGCAGTGCAAGGCACCCACCCCCGACCATCCTGAGGCTTTGGAGGCTCACCAACAGTCACTTACATGGTCCCGGTTCGATCGCCAGCCGACGCACTTCTGAACCACTCCTAGCCTGTAGTAAGCTTAGTAAAGAGGGAATGTCGGGAGTAAGGCTAGCGACCTCCCAGCATCATCTGTACATGAAATTCAAAGCCTGAAGCCTTATGCCCCAATTAGAACTTAAAGGAATGAAAAACTGAGACAAACACTCTAGAATACGTGAAATGCCACATGTTATAGGCATTCTCTGCTTTTCAGTTTACAGATATTCTAACAACATGAATGATATGTCTGTGAGCATGAAAATCGACTTAACATTAAACAATTCTCTTAAAATCTGTTGCCATTAGTGACCCAGTACACTTCTACTGGATGTCAATTGCGAACTCGAATATCTCCGATTACAGCGATGAATGACTCAGGTCTGGTCTGATTCTCAGAAGGAACATGAATTCTTTCAAGATAACAGGTACATTTAGCTAACGATTGCCATTAAAGCACTGTCAACCACCTGCAACCATTGCATGTCCATTTTGAGTAACACAGACTGAATACAATGTACACAACTCATATGAAACATTTCAGCCAGACATTGTGTATTTTATCATATCCTTTTAAAGAGAACAATGACCTTAGAAACACTCAGTATATTACATAATATATAGGCTATATTTCTATTCATGATGACTTGTCTCTATAAATATATATATATATATATATATATATATATATATATATATATATATAGCCTGCTTTCAGTTACATTGCCACCAAATGTGCAGATTTCGGATGCATGGCTTATTCATGAATTCATTAAAGATGCTGTTTGTTGCAACTTATTTACTTTCCATATTATTATTATTATTCATTTGTAACAAAGTGGTTTCAATTCATGGCTGGATCAACATAAGAATTACAATTATTTTCAAAACTATTGTCTCATTGGTCGATGTGGTGACTATACACAGGTAAGAGTTGTGACAGTAATTTCATTGTGTTGCGTAACCGACAAAATAAGACGTATATTGTTTTTGTAGATGAAGATGAATAATGAACACTTTAAATTGTGTAATTTAACTACCTCTCAGGAAAAAGGCACGTCGAAAAGACAGTCACACTAGATTATTCAGGGATTTCTATTTAAATACAGACAGAGTATTATTGAGTGTGTTTATTGTGAAATAGACACCTACCACCAAAGACATTCTTGTTGGGCTACAACCCATGTTCATACATCAAGTGATAACATAGTTTTCCAAGTAACATTAATATCATTAACGCAATTAACAAATTCAAAAGTGTCATGCAAAGACTAGGTATAAACTTGCCTTCTTAATGGTTTCAAGAGTTCTACCGTCCATTTTAAAACACAATAATACAGTGAACCTGCCATGTCTAAAATAGGACGCATTAGTAGCCCAGATTAATGTATTTTCTGTAGGCCAAAGAGTAGAGGAATGATAGATCCAGAAGGTATTAGCCTTTCATACACTTCGGTTGTCAATGATGAATCATTCTGCATACATTTCAGAACCTGTGTGGTAGAGGAACAAATCAGAATTGACAACCGGGCTAATATGAAAGGCTAAGAGCTTCTGGATCAGTCATTCCTATTACAACCTATTGCAATCTGAATAATTTCCATTTCCAAAGGAAACTGTGGTGAAATTCCACCTGGAACTGTGTAAATTGAAAATAACGATTTAATTTGAAAAATTGCCAATTTGATTTAACGCCAGACAACAATTAGTTGGCGTATTTCTTTTTATAAAAATGCATAACAAGTTTAACAAATTCAAGTAGAATTTCAGATATTTTATGCACTTTCTGACATTCATGATACGCTACTGCTCAAATATCTCACGTACATGCTCAATTCGTGATATTGCTCAATCTTAATAGTAAATCATGAGAGTTATAAGATTTGATAGTGTGAAATATTCCCATATTATGAATTAAAAGTCAATCTGAACGAAGAATATTTTTTTCAATAATTTCTCCTCTTCAGGTTGTTACAATTATAAAATATAATATCTGGTTTCGTTACAATAAAGGCCATTTATGCGGCGGATACATTTTTAACGTAGAATAACAGATTAGTAGTTATGGGCGTATGGGCAAGACAAATAGTCGTATTTGAGTGTGACAAACGTGGTAGGCTGAAATCTATTACCAAAATATTGTAAAACGGGAGACAGTGGTGGTGATTAATCATAATAGATTTGTAGAGTGTGGGGTAGGAAAACTGACAAATCAGTTCAAGGTTATAAAAGGTGTCAGGTAAGTGAGTGGCTAGTACAAAGTGGTCTGTGTTAAACAGGAGATAGTAAGACTGGAATGAGAGGTTCATAATGAGATAACGAATATGTGAAATGAAACAGGTGGAGGCATATACTGAGAAAACAGATAATATCACTAATAATAAGTCCGTATAAATAAAAATTCGGTAGTATTGAGGGAATGTTTGCATAAAGGGCATAAATTATGACGAATAATAATAATAACTGTAATAATAATAATATTTATAATAATAAGCAAAGTAAAAAAGCAAGAAAAACCAAGAGGGTTAAGGGGAAGGGGCACTCTTCTTGAGAAGAAAAATTTTCAATCCAAGGTTGGCCTCGGTAAGGACAGCGTCTAGTTCCGGTTTAGTCGATCTTATTGCAACAGCTTCAGCTATGTGTAGGAGACGTAAGCGAACTGTACGTGATAACGACAGAAAGAACACGTCCATATGCTGTTCTTACCGAGGCCAACCTTGGATTGAAAATTTTTCTTCTCAAGAAGAGTGCCCCTTCCCCTTAACCCTCTTGGTTTTTCTTGCTTTTTTACTTTGCTTATTATTATAAATATTATTATTATTACAGTTATTATTATTATTCGTCATAATTTATGCCCTTTATGCAAACATTCCCTCAATACTACCGAATTTTTATTTATACGGACTTATTATTAGTGATATTATCTGTTTTCTCAGTATATGCCTCCACCTGTTTCATTTCACATATTCGTTATCTCATTATGAACCTCTCATTCCAGTCTTACTATCTCCTGTTTAACACAGACCACTTTGTACTAGCCACTCACTTACCTGACACCTTTTATAACCTTGAACTGATTTGTCAGTTTTCCTACCCCACACTCTACAAATCTATTATGATTAATCACCACCACTGTCTCCCGTTTTACAATATTTTGGTAATAGATTTCAGCCTACCACGTTTGTCACACTCAAATACGACTATTTGTCTTGCCCATACGCCCATAACTACTAATCTGTTATTCTACGTTAAAAATGTATCCGCCGCATTATTATTATTTATTATTGTATCCTTTAGTTCCTAGAGGAACATAGGGCTTCAGCTGCGCACCTCCATTGACTTCGGTTTTTTGACAACTTTTTCACCCTGCTCCAGGTCTGCCCACATGCTTTCATCTCCTCTTCACATGACCTCCTCCAAGTCACCCTTGGACGACCAACTCGCCGCCTCCCTTTCGGGTTCCACTCGAGGGCTTGTCTAGTGATGTCACTTGTTGGTTTCCTCAGCGTATGGCCAATCCATCTCCATTTCTTTCTGCCTATTTGTTTAACAATCGGTTCCTGATTGGTTCGCTCCCAGAGATCCCTGTTGCTGATCTTTTCTGGCCATCTGATCTTGAGTATTGAGCGGAGACAGCTGTTAATGAAGGTCTGAAGTTTGTTTGAGATGCTCTTTATGACGCGCTAGCCAAGTCTCTGATCCGTATAGTAGCACTGACTTCACATTAGAGTTGAAAATCCGGATCTTATTTTTGATGCTGAGTGGGGCTGTTGACCTCCACACAGATTTGAGAGTAATGAAAGCTTGTCTTGCTTTTCCGATTCTGGCTTTGATGTCCTCGTCAGTTCCGCCTGTAGTTGAGACGATGCTTCCCAGGTAGGTGAAGGAGGTTGTTTCTTTCAGGTTCTTCCCATTTATGCTTATTGTGGTCTGTTGTTGCTGTTGATGTTGGCAAGGAATCTTCATCATCTCTGTTTTATCTATGTTCACGTGAAGTCCTATCTTTGATGCTTCTTCTGCCAATTTGTTACTTTTCATTTGCATATCTTCCAGTTTATGGGAAATCCGCCGCATAAATGGCCTTTATTGTAACGAAACCAGATATTATATTTTATAATTGTAACAACCTGAAGAGGAGAAATTATTGAAAAAAATATTCTTCGTTCAGATTGACTTTTAATTCATAGTAACTACCATTCTTATCTACTGGATGAAGAATAATAATTCAACCAGACAATAATGATGTGAGAATCAACATGAAATATACGAAAACGAGAGAATACCATATTTCTTCTATATTCTGCGGATATCATTCGTACACTAGTCATACAATGCAAAGCTGATATAGGCTTCAGTGTGTATCATTGGTTCAGGAGTAGAACCCTAGCTAACTACGCATTTCGTCTGGGGTTTGATCCTCGGCCGACGCACTACTAGACCTCGCTAAGCTGGTAGGTAGTAAGCCCAGTAGAGAGGGAATGTTGGGCGTGAGTCTAGCAGCCCGACCCCTTAAAAATGACACCACTGCTACTGACACTTCAAAGCTGTACTTTGAGTCCGTATTGTTCCACTGAGAATGTAAAACAATAAAATAAATAAAAATATAAACTTGAATAAGGCATTAAGAAGACAAAGTTCGCCAGATGATATCTTCATTTCGTAGTTTCTTTACAACCCATTTACAACTGCTTTACAACTAACATGGTTAACAATGATAAAATAAAGATCATGACAATTACTCAGTTAAGTAAGAAAACAAAAGTACATACTAATGACCAATCATATTTAGATAGGTCATGCAGTCTAGGGTAGGCGAAGATTGAAGTCTATTGATTTTTGTACACACAGTTTAGGCTGTATGTGATTAATCCAAAGTGCTTCCATCACCTTCAATAACCAGCCTTGAATTAGAGTTATGTGATGAAATAATTGTGAAACAGTCATTAATATTGATTTTGTCACCTGACATTAATAAGTGTTTTGCAATGAATGATGCTGGATCTCTATTCAGACTAATCGCGTTGGGATTTTCTATATGATTTAGTAGCCATTTTGGAACATTCTATTAGTTCTACCTATATAAGTGTCACCGCAGCTGCATGTGATCTTGTAGATACAGTTTGAAGTAGAGTCCACAGAATTTCGTCCTGTAATCGTAGGAACAGGGATCGAAAATGTTCGACAAGTGAGAAAAAGAAATGCGTCTTAGAATGTGCGTTTGTCGAACATTTTCGATCCCTGTTCCTACGATTACAGGACGAAATTCTGTGGACTCTACTTCAAACTGTATCTACAAGATCACATGCAGCTGCGGTGACACTTATATAGGTAGAACCAATAGAATGTTCCAAAATGGCTACTAAATCATAGAAAATCCCAACGCGATTAGTCTGAATAGAGATCCAGCATCATTCATTGCAAAACACTTATTAATGTCAGGTGACAAAATCAATATTAATGACTGTTTCACAATTATTTCATCACATAACTCTAATTCAAGGCTGGTTATTGAAGGTGATGGAAGCACTTTGGATTAATCACATACAGCCTAAACTGTGTGTACAAAAATCAATAGACTTCAATCTTCGCCTACCCTAGACTGCATGACCTATCTAAATATGATTGGTCATTAGTATGTACTTTTGTTTTTTTACTTAACTGAGTAATTGTCATGATCTTTATTTTATCATTGTTAACCATGTTAGTTGTAAAGCAGTTGTAAAGGGGTTGTAAAGAAACTACGAAATGAAGGTATCATCTGGCGAACTTTGTCTTCTTAATGCCTTATTCAAATTTATCAAAGGGACTCAATGTTTTAAAAAATATATACAGTTTTCAGTAGATAGGACTAGTTGCATTCTGTGTATCTCAGCGCAGGGCACACTCTTTTTTTACTTTTCACAACTGCCTTATTATCTGATTTTAGTGATATTTATTGTGTTGCTTCTTTCAGACAGACCTTCCTTCTTATGTTATTCAGCTCTTTTTTTTAATTTTTTTTAAAAATTCTTCATTTTTCTTCAGATTGTCTGGGAACAAACAAGAGATATTGGATGTGGTGTTGCTGAGTGCCCGGATTTTCAGTATGCACTAAGTATTGTATGCAATTATGGCCCAGGGTAAGTCAGCATAAAAGCTGATTGCATTCTCAACAAATTTATTAGACTACTATATAGACATTTAAATACTTATGTTATTACTATAACTTTGTGTGGTGCTGTACATACTTTGAGAATAGTAGGGATAAATTTGAGTTTGTAACAGAAAAAACAAAAGTCTTTGGCGTGGAATCACGTATTTTACTCAATTACATACAGTAGTGATGAAATATAACAACCTTCCATCGAAACTTTAAGTTAAACGAAGTCTCCGTGTTCCTTGTCTTTCTTGTCATCGTTTGCTTTTTATGCTGAATTAAGCATTTCTCCGTTTTTATTGTCAGCAGATTAATCTGCTTATCATGAATGTAGAAGTTTTGTAGAAGGCAACAATATAATATTTATAAATTCTTATCAGTGTGATACACCATACTCATCACCCCACCAAGAAGTCTCAAACGCAGCCACACATGAAATAGTCCTTCCAGGTGTAGGGCCTCTAGGTAAATGCAGAGTCTAAATGCAGAACACCTAGGGCAGAAATCGTAGTATTTTTGGCGTACAGTTTCCCTCTGTCAAATATCAAATGATGCTAATGAAGTGGTTTAATGATACGGAGGTGTAGGCTGCCTGGTTGGGCATCCTTGAAACGTTAAGGTTCAGTGCCTGGAGATATGGTTTAAAAGGATTCTCATTATTTATGAACTCCCAGACCTGTTAAATTGTCATCGTCTTCTGTTGAAATCATTCATTCTTTCATAAATTTCTGTTTTTGTTGTGATTTTATAATCATATTTTCTTCACCTTCAAGTGTAGTCTATGAAGTTTGGCAACTTGAACTGCTGCATTTGTGTGTAAAGTTCTGCGTTGAAAACTCAGTCAGCCTAAGTAGGTAGTCTGAGATTGTGATAGTATCTACCCATCGTCTAATATATTTCGTCACAGACAGCAGGCACTGGTCGCCTTTAAATCTCTGAGGAAACAGTTTCAATACGATCGTGAAATCATAGTGTTCCGGGCGTAACATGCATCTCAAAAACGTTCCATTCACGTCATTGTCTTCACTTAATCTAGATGATTGGGATCAGTTTCCCTATGGAACGGATAACCAAGCAGATAGGGCGCCCAGTTATCTCACGTTCAAGTTGTGCTAAATATTCTTTCTCAACTTTTGAATAATTCTGTTCTCTGATTGTTCAAATACGACTGACATATTCAGTAGATCCTTTGCTTTGTCTTAGAACTGCACCTATTCAACAAACACTTGTATCTATGGAAGCTATGAACGATTTTCCGGGTACAGCTAGCTTGAGTATTATTCGCTGATAATCTTAGAGAGGTTGAATGTTTCTTTACCTACTCATATACTTAGTAACATACATGGTGGAAATGCTGTCTCTAGTAGGGATTTTATCTCACCACTTCTCATTATGTTCCAACAACATAACATTCCTCTTGCTTATACGAAATTTCGTGCTGCTGATACGTGGTTCAAACTCTTCGTCACATTCTTTCAGTTCCTAGGTAATAACGTCATGAATTGTCTTAGCATAAAGGGTGTATTCACCAATGCAAACGATATTCATTTAAAGTGGTGTTTTTTCTGCTTTGTCTGTGCCACTATCATTTATCGGTACTTTCCAATATCCTGATCGGTGGTTTATTACTGTAAATAAACGCTGGATCAGTGGGCAATCAAACGTTTCCGGTAGACCTGGTATGGGACAGGGTCTTTATTCGGTTATGATATTGAGCTGTTTTAAATTTTGAAAATTTTTTATTACAGCTTGATTCCACACTGTATTTTTGGTACAAGTATGGAATTTTCAGAATGGATATCGGTAGCTCAAATTTAGCAGGCCGACCATAGATATCAGGTGTGCTTCTTCGGCAGGGTATCGAACTTCAGACCATATGCATGGTCGGCGAGAGTCCTAACCACTGTTGCGATTAATAAGAAAATTTGAGATTCCCACTGCAGAAGTTTCCTAAGGTTACAGGAGCTGTTAGCTTCTTCAATAATGTCGTTTAACATCTCATGAAACTGTCGCTTAATAAATAGCACTAAGTGATATGAAGCTCTACGTGTTGTAGTTTTTATCATCCCTTGAGTTGCTTCTGAGATTTTATGCCCCATCTTTTTACAATACTCTTAAAGAGGTTGATCTCCAGTGTATACCTCACATTTTCTAAATAACATTTGTTATATAGTACTTTCAGCACTTGATTTACTGCATTCCTGGTATTCTCTCACATGGCAGTCATCCTATACTTTGTAATCACCGTCCTTTTTCTCGTGTTATTTAACTGCATTTGACAATCCATGATGCGAAACAATGCAGTCTGAAACACCTAGAATTTTCAACGCATGTCTAACTACTTTGTAGACTGTCAGCAGACATTGTATGACACTCTGAAAATGATCCTTATCTATTGGGCATGTCTTCCAGGTCATTTATTTGCACCTTAGCATATATTACTCCATATGGATTACACTCACAACTTATAGTTTGATTGGGAAAATGAACACAAAACATGCTTTTATTTCTTGTTACTCTGGGCAGTGCTTGCGACAGTATTTCATTTAGCCGTATTCTAAGCTTTAATCTCTGTTAAAGCCTTTTTGGTGAGCAACCAATTGCTGTTGAAAATATTTATTTGAAACCCAGTGGTTCATTTTTGAAGTATTCACTGTGACCAGTAACCGCTTGACCACTTGCACCAGATCTCAAATGTCCATGTATTTTGTAGCATTCACTAGTTCTAAGTGATGCGAAGTAATGTTGGAGACACCCTTCATAAACTGTGATGTGAATAAGTGAGCCTGTGACTCATAAAAAGAACGATGTAGAGTAAGTTTGCCAATTTCTGTGTCAACTTCAGTGGCTTTCCGTATGGTCTGAGCCACGTGCTCTAAAAGTGCCGCTTCACTCACTGCTTATCTGTTGGGATGCTGAACTTCGTCTCCAGTCATCGAACCTACAAATCTCAAGTCCTCCCCTCACCTGGAACTTCCACATGATCATGAGCGAATTTCACTTGACCTCTCAACACAGTTATCATCATCACAGACATCGCTTTAGCTCTCTAACACTCACCAACTCTACAATTACTTCATATTCCCAAATTGAATAATACGAATTGACTTAACCTCTGAACCAATCGGCAGTGTATGCGAATGATCGTTCTTCACAGAAAACTGTATTACTCCCATAAGCTCCAAATGAAGTGACTTCACAATGCAAAAAAAAAGTATTGGGGAGAAAAACAAAAGAAAAGCTATTTAGTATTAAGGCACGCTACCTAAATGGATATAATCCTGCAACAGTAAAACAAAACAGACTGATAAGACTGGACAAACAGTCCCACTTCGTCTACACACTATGGTGAAACAGAATATTGGAGCAATGTGAAAAGGTCGAAAAACCAAAATAACTGATGAAAAAGAAAGAACTAGGTTTATGTAGTAACAACTAGACTCAGCCAAAAAAAAATAACAACATGAAAATGACTAATACAAAAGTTGCATTGGTTCTAAAAATAAGCGAATTGTCTACACAAACAAAATATTTATCTTTTCTATCTTAGGGGTAACCAAGTGGCCAGACCACCATATAGAACAAATCAAAAACCGAAAACAACAACGATCGCTACGCGACGCCGGAGGAAAACAACTAAAACACCACTAACGATAAACTACCAAAAAATAACTAATTCTAATCAAGACCAAGGACTAAACATGACGACAACAACAAACAACGCACAAAACACAATACAAAAACATCAGAAAACTACAACAACCGACAATCCAGCAACAACAGCAACCAGAACCACACAAAATACTATCAGGTCGACCAATAAGAATACAATGAAAACAACAGAAAAGACAACGAGAACGGTAAACACTGACACAGATATAAGAACAACACCGCATAGGTTGACAAATGATAAACAGATGACAAAAAACACCGAAAAAACCAAGAATACAATTGTAACAACAGAAGACAAGGGCTGGCAACAGATCGTTTTATTACGAAAATCAACACGTATTTATATATATTTTATATGCATTAATAAGGCTTATGCAAGCAGAAAAAGGCAGTCTTCTGATTGGTTGTTTCTCGGAAGTTAAGCAGACAAACACAGTCTTATGATTGGTTGTGTTCGATATTTCTCGGAAAGTAGAGCCATCTATCTGCGAATCATATTTGTCCACATTTAGGTTTGCTGTGATTGGTTGTTGAAACAGCCTTGTTCACGGTCAATATTAGTGACCTAGACATTAACGTAGATTAGTGCCAACCAATCGGCTAGCAGCCTGCTCTCACCACACTCGTCCCCCCGTCAAATAGCTTTGTGCGCAGACGTTCCGACCTTCTGGGTGCTACATCCTCTAGTTGAGGATTGTTACTGACCGGCTTGTCCCACTGTACCCATCTTTGGAGCTGACTGGCGTTAACTCGTTTCTGTTTATCACCTCTTCGGATGGTATATACTTGACCCCGTCTTTTTGTGATTGTGTATGGTCCTTCCCACTTTGGAAGGAGTTTCCGTGAACCTAGCCCGCCTCCAACTGTATATCTCCTGTCTCTACACTTCACTTGGTCCCCGACTGCAAAAGTAATGCACTGCGTCCTTTCTTTCATCTGAGACTTCGTGACATCACTGCGCTGCTTCCGTATTACATTCTTGACTGCCTCTTTCCTCTCTGCTTTTAATTTCGTCGTACTCCACTTTTGGTGCATGGGCCAGGTCTCATTGTGTACCGGTAATCGTGGTTTTCTACCATACATCAGTTGGAAGGGTGACTTCTTCGTTGTTTCCTGAGTGGTAGCCCGATGTGTTAGTAAAATCAGTGGAAGCTCCGTTTCCCAGTTCCCGCCCTTCGAAGCCAGCCACTCTTTCAGTGTACGGTTGTTTCTCTCCGTTAGGCCATTCGTTTGTGGATGGTATGGGGTCGTTCTGATCCTCTTGATGCCCAGCTGTTGCAAACGGGAAGTAAACTCTTCACTCTCGAAACAGGGACCTTGGTCTGTCAGTATTGTCTTCGGTACGCCGTGGTCTGCAACAATGTGTCTAACTACTGCATCTGTCACGGTTCTTGCACGTTGGTCTGGGATTGCTACGGCGTCTACCCATCGTGTCGCGTGTTCCGTCATCACCAAGAGGTACTGATTACCATTGGATGTCTGAGGAAATGGACCCATGACATCTACGGACCACAAGTCACCTATCGCGGTAACTGGAATCGACTGAAGTGGTGGTCGTATATACCGGTCACCTTTCATCAGCTGGCACCGTGGACATCCAAGTACGTATCTTGCTACGTCTTCTCTCATACCTGGCCAGTACATACTTTGTCTTAGGAGGTCGGTCGTTCTGGCCACGCCTGTATGCGCTAGCTGGTGACATTCTTCTATCATGTCGTGGCGCGACGATTGAGGTATGACAGCCAGCCAGCTTCCGTCGTTCTCTCGCCAGGTCAGAGTCCCGTAGGCATTCACTCTGAGTCGATCCCTCTGTCTGAGTAGTGTGGTTAGCTCCTTACTCGCCGTAGTTTGATCCACTTCTATTCCGTTGGTGATCACCTGTATTACTGTATTCAGCGTATCGTCCAACCTCTGCCTACGTGCAAGTCTTAGTGGGTCTTGTTCTACTGCATGCACTCCGTAAGCGACCTCGGGCAACTCAGACTCATCTTCTGGTCTCGATAACAAATCTGCCAAGACATTTTCACTTCCAGGAACGTGTGAGATCGTAAAATCGTATTCCTGAAGACGCAACATCCACCGTGACAACTTCCCCCGTGGGTCTCTCGCTGTCTTCAAAAATTGTAGCGGCTTATGATCAGTTTCGATGTGGAACCGCCGGCCGAGTAAATAAGGTCTCCATTTGTCGACTGCCCATACCATTGCTAAACATTCTTTCTCTATCGTTGAATACTTTCTCTCTGTGAGGGTCAAAACCCTACTGGCATACTCAACGATTCCCTCGTCCTGTCTTAGGACCGCACCTATAGCGTAGTCACTGGCATCTGTGCACACTGTGAACTGTCTTCCTGGCACAGGTAGTTTTAGCGTCATTTGTTGGTGGTCGAGCAGCTGTTTAATTCTGTCGAATGTCCTCTGCGATTCTTCCGACCAAACAAACTTTGGCTCACCTAGTAGCCTGTATAGAGGGGCTGCTATCTCATTGAAGTTCTTCACGAAGCGACTATAAAACGCTGCTCTACCCAAGAATTGTCTCAGTTTTCTCTTTGAATTCGGGGCTGGAATCGTTTTAATCGTCAAAATTTTCTCCGGCAGTGGTTTAATCTCACCATTTCCCACTTTATGTCCCAACAGAGTAACATTCTTTTTGGCTATCTGAGACTTGGTTTTGTTGACGCGTAGTCCAAACTCTTCGATGCGTCGCAGCACGGCTTCTACATGGTTGACGTGATCGTTTTCGTTTGACTGTATATGACGAGATCATCACCATAAACCTCCACGTTTTTCAAGTTCTTAAGTAATAGCTTCATCAGTCGTCTGAACGTAAACGGTGCACCTGCTAGTCCAAACGGCATGCGTTTAAATCGATATTGTGTCTGACCCACGATGAAAGCCGTCTTATCTCTGTCACTTTGTTTTATCGGTATCTGCCAGTATCCTGAGCGAAGATCGAGAACCGAAAACACATTCGCACCTTGTAGGCGATCTAAGGTTTCTATCACTGTTGGCATGGCACACGGTCTTAACTCTGTCATACTGTTTAACTGTCGGAAATCAACACAGAATCTATACTTCCCATTCGCTTTTTTTACTAACAGCACTGGAGAGTTGTATGGGCTATCAGCTTCCTCAATAATATCATCTTTTAACATCTCTTGCACTTGTCGCTCCACTTCGCCTTCCAGATGACATGGAACTCTTCGCGTTAAAAATGACCTTACTTTCGGATCACTTAACGGAATTTCATGATTCACCTTATCGCAATAACCGTATGGGTCCCATCTCCAGTGAACAGATGATCGTATTTATTAATTAACTCTGTCACATTGTGTACCGTCGACAGCTTAATCGCTGCTATCTCGCTGGTCTCATACATGTTGATATGCCCGTATTTCGTGATCACCACGTTCGCTTGCGTGTCGATTATGGCACCAATCTCACGCAGAAAATCCGCTCCTAATATCGTTCGCTGTAGTTCGGGTACAACAATGAAAGGAAACGTCACCTCGCAGCCACCAACAACGACCGTACAGTTCGATCTACCCGTGATACGCAACACATACCCGCCTACTGTTTGTACTGTCAATGAACACGGATTAACACTCTTACATAAATTCTTATCTATTAACGACACGGCCGCCCTGTATCTATCAAACATACTACTTCTCGATCATTCACTCGCAACTTCGAATACAGAGCGCCTTTCTCAATAGCCCCCACTAAACCTAGGTTCATACGAAAGAAAGAACAAGCATTATACCGTCTGAAATTTTTTCTTTTTCGCCTTTCTGGGCAGTATCTTCTCCAGTGTCCCGGCTTACCGCATTCAAAACACCGGTCTTTTCTATCAGCCAACTTTAACGCCGCCACTTCCCGCTGCAATGCTTCAATTTTTGCTCATATTCGTTTGGTTTTGGTTGGTCTATAGCGGCTACCGTTGTGCTCAGCAGCTGTCTGGTCACCTTCGCCAGCTCACTAATATCCATCGGCTGCGTTGCGTTAACCAGTTTTAATCGCTGAGAAATGTGGTCTGGGACACTCTCGATGAATTGGGAAGACAGTAACTGCGCTTCTGATTCTTCATCTAAAGTGGGAAGCGCGCGTCGAAGTAGATTAGTCAGTTTCACCGCCAACACTAGCGGGTCTCCATCAGGTCCAAGCTTCATTGACCGGAACTGCTGCATTGCTAGCTGTCTGTCTGTTTCGCTGTCAAACTCGGACACTAGTCGTTCAACCAATTTCTTCCAAGACGCTGTGCCATTTGACCTGTCTACGCTGTCATATGCAGCCTTCGCTCGGCCTCTCAACAGCGTCCCCAGGACAACTGCCTTCGCCGCCTGCTCCTTGACACCCACCAGCTCAGCAACGGCTTCGAAGTCACGTAAGAAGCTCCGTATGTCACCTTCTTCAAACGCAGCTGGCCACGGGATCTTCATCTTCTTGGAGGCAGCGACACCAAATGTAACAACAGAAGACAAGGGCTGGCAACAGATCGTTTTATTACGAAAATCAACACGTATTTATATATATTTTATATGCATTAATAAGGCTTATGCAAGCAGAAAAAGGCAGTCTTCTGATTGGTTGTTTCTCGGAAGTTAAGCAGACAAACACAGTCTTATGATTGGTTGTGTTCGATATTTCTCGGAAAGTAGAGCCATCTATCTGCGAATCATATTTGTCCACATTTAGGTTTGCTGTGATTGGTTGTTGAAACAGCCTTGTTCACGGTCAATATTAGTGACCTAGACATTAACGTAGATTAGTGCCAACCAATCGGCTAGCAGCCTGCTCTCTCCACACAATGACAACAAATACAATAAAAACTAATCAAACTAAGCCAATCTCACAACAAAGTAACATAGAGAAAAATACAAAAGAGACAAACAACAGCAATATCAGTTATATAACTACGACACAAAAACCAGAAAAAGAAAGCAGACAAGAAAAAAAAACTATCCAACAGAAGAAAGACACAAAAACAAACACTTACACAACAAACCACAAAGAAGAAACAGAAAGAAAACTCAATCAAACAAAAATTACCACCACAACCACCATGAAACAAAAGGACAGTCAAAAAAGCACACCAAAAACAACTAAAACGAACATGACCACCACAAAGACACAAACAAACACTCGAGTCCGCATTTCAAAACCAACGATTCGAAAGGCTACACCACCAACAACTACACGAAAAATATCAAGAAAAAAAAACAAGACAACCTACATCAACAAGAAAAAAACAAATCTAAAGGTTACAAAATCAACGACCACTGAAATAGACAAACCAAAAACAAAAACAGCTAGGATAAATACAAAAATTCCAAAAAGCAAACCGACAAAAACCACCACCAAGACCACCACGAAGAAACCAAGAACCACTCGAAAACGCAAACCACCAACAACCACCACCAAGACCACCACGAAGAAACCAAGAACCACTCGAAAACGCAAACCACCAACAACCACCACCAAGACCACCACGAAGAAACCAAGAACCACTCGAAAACGCAAACCACCAACACCACCACCAAGACCACCACGAAGAAACAAGAACCACTCGAAACGCAAACCACCAACAACCACCACCAAGACCACCACGAAGAAACCAAGAACCACTCGAAAACGCAACCACAACAACCACCACCAACCACCACGAAGAAACCAAGAACCACTCGAAAACGCAAACCACCAACAACCACCACCAAGACCACCACGAAGAAACCAAGAACCACTCGAAAACGCAAACCACCAACAACCACCACCAAGACCACCACGAAGAAACCAAGAACCACTCGAAAACGCAAACCACCAACAACCACCACCAAGACCACCACGAAGAAACCAAGAACCACTCGAAAACGCAAACCACCAACAACCACCACCAAGACCACCACGAAGAAACCAAGAACCACTCGAAAACGCAAACCACCAACAACCACCACCAAGACCACCACGAAGAAACCAAGAACCACTCGAAAACGCAAACCACCAACAACCACCACCAAGACCACCACGAAGAAACCAAGAACCACTCGAAAACGCAAACCACCAACAACCACCACCAAGACCACCACGAAGAAACCAGAACCACTCGAAAACGCAAACCACCAACAACCACCACCAAGACCACCACGAAGAAACCAAGAACCACTCGAAAACGCAAACCACCAACAACCACCACCAAGACCACCACGAAGAAACCAAGAACCACTCGAAAACGCAAACCACCAACAACCACCACCAAGACCACCACGAAGAAACCAAGAACCACTCGAAAACGCAAACCACCAACAACCACCACCAAGACCACCACGAAGAAACCAAGAACCACTCGAAAACGCAAACCACCAACAACCACCACCAAGACCACCACGAAGAAACCAAGAACCACTCGAAAACGCAAACCACCAACAACCACCACCAAGACCACCACGAAGAAACCAAGAACCACTCGAAAACGCAAACCACCAACAACCACCACCAAGACCACCACGAAGAAACCAAGAACCACTCGAAAACGCAAACCACCAACAACCACCACCAAGACCACCACGAAGAAACCAAGAACCACTCGAAAACGCAAACCACCAACAACCACCACCAAGACCACCACGAAGAAACCAAGAACCACTCGAAAACGCAAACCACCAACAACCACCACCAAGACCACCACGAAGAAACCAAGAACCACTCGAAAACGCAAACCACCAACAACCACCACCAAGACCACCACGAAGAAACCAAGAACCACTCGAAAACGCAAACCACCAACAACCACCACCAAGACCACCACGAAGAAACCAAGAACCACTCGAAAACGCAAACCACCAACAACCACCACCAAGACCACCACGAAGAAACCAAGAACCACTCGAAAACGCAAACCACCAACAACCACCACCAAGACCACCACGAAGAAACCAAGAACCACTCGAAAACGCAAACCACCAACAACCACCACCAAGACCACCACGAAGAAACCAAGAACCACTCGAAAACGCAAACCACCAACAACCACCACCAAGACCACCACGAAGAAACCAAGAACCACTCGAAAACGCAAACCACCAACAACCACCACCAAGACCACCACGAAGAAACCAAGAACCACTCGAAAACGCAAACCACCAACAACCACCACCAAGACCACCACGAAGAAACCAAGAACCACTCGAAAACGCAAACCACCAACAACCACCACCAAGACCACCACGAAGAAACCAAGAACCACTCGAAAACGCAAACCACCAACAACCACCACCAAGACCACCACGAAGAAACCAAGAACCACTCGAAAACGCAAACCACCAACAACCACCACCAAGACCACCACGAAGAAACCAAGAACCACTCGAAAACGCAAACCACCAACAACCACCACCAAGACCACCACGAAGAAACCAAGAACCACTCGAAAACGCAAACCACCAACAACCACCACCAAGACCACCACGAAGAAACCAAGAACCACTCGAAAACGCAAACCACCAACAACCACCACCAAGACCACCACGAAGAAACCAAGAACCACTCGAAAACGCAAACCACCAACAACCACCACCAAGACCACCACGAAGAAACCAAGAACCACTCGAAAACGCAAACCACCAACAACCACCACCAAGACCACCACGAAGAAACCAAGAACCACTCGAAAACGCAAACCACCAACAACCACCACCAAGACCACCACGAAGAAACCAAGAACCACTCGAAAACGCAAACCACCAACAACCACCACCAAGACCACCACGAAGAAACCAAGAACCACTCGAAAACGCAAACACCAACAACCACCACCAAGACCACCACGAAGAAACCAGAACCACTCGAAAACGCAAACCACCAACAACCACCACCAAGACCACCACGAAGAAACCAAGAACCACTCGAAAACGCAAACCACCAACAACCACCACCAAGACCACCACGAAGAAACCAAGAACCACTCGAAAACGCAAACCACCAACAACCACCACCAAGACCACCACGAAGAAACCAAGAACAACTCGAAAACGCAAACCACCAACAACCACCACCAAGACCACCACGAAGAAACCAAGAACCACTCGAAAACGCAAACCACCAACAACCACCACCAAGACCACCACGAAGAAACCAAGAACCACTCGAAAACGCAAACCACCAACAACCACCACCAAGACCACCACGAAGAAACCAAGAACCACTCGAAAACGCAAACCACCAACAACCACCACCAAGACCACCACGAAGAAACCAAGAACCACTCGAAAACGCAAACCACCAACAACCACCACCAAGACCACCACGAAGAAACCAGAACCACTCGAAAACGCAAACCACCAACAACCACCACCAAGACCACCACGAAGAAACCAAGAACCACTCGAAAACGCAAACCACCAACAACCACCACCAAGACCACCACGAAGAAACCAAGAACCACTCGAAAACGCAAACCACCAACAACCACCACCAAGACCACCACGAAGAAACCAAGAACCACTCGAAAACGCAAACCACCAACAACCACCACCAAGACCACCACGAAGAAACCAAGAACCACTCGAAAACGCAAACCACCAACAACCACCACCAAGACCACCACGAAGAAACCAAGAACCACTCGAAAACGCAAACCACCAACAACCACCACCAAGACCACCACGAAGAAACCAAGAACCACTCGAAAACGCAAACCACCAACAACCACCACCAAGACCACCACGAAGAAACCAAGAACCACTCGAAAACGCAAACCACCAACAACCACCACCAAGACCACCACGAAGAAACCAAGAACCACTCGAAAACGCAAACCACCAACAACCACCACCAAGACCACCACGAAGAAACCAAGAACCACTCGAAAACGCAAACCACCAACAACCACCACCAAGACCACCACGAAGAAACCAAGAACCACTCGAAAACGCAAACCACCAACAACCACCACCAAGACCACCACGAAGAAACCAAGAACCACTCGAAAACGCAAACCACCAACAACCACCACCAAGACCACCACGAAGAAACCAAGAACCACTCGAAAACGCAAACCACCAACAACCACCACCAAGACCACCACGAAGAAACCAAGAACCACTCGAAAACGCAAACCACCAACAACCACCACCAAGACCACCACGAAGAAACCAAGAACCACTCGAAAACGCAAACCACCAACAACCACCACCAAGACCACACGAAGAAACCAAGAACCACTCGAAAACGCAAACCACAACAACCACCACCAAGACCACCACGAAGAAACCAAGAACCACTCGAAAACGCAAACCACCAACAACCACCACCAAGACCACCACGAAGAAACCAAGAACCACTCGAAAACGCAAACCACCAACAACCACCACCAAGACCACCACGAAGAAACCAAGAACCACTCGAAAACGCAAACCACCAACAACCACCACCAAGACCACCACGAAGAAACCAAGAACCACTCGAAAACGCAAACCACCAACAACCACCACCAAGACCACCACGAAGAAACCAAGAACCACTCGAAAACGCAAACCACCAACAACCACCACCAAGACCACCACGAAGAAACCAAGAACCACTCGAAAACGCAAACCACCAACAACCACCACCAAGACCACCACGAAGAAACCAAGAACCACTCGAAAACGCAAACCACCAACAACCACCACCAAGACCACCACGAAGAAACCAAGAACCACTCGAAAACGCAAACCACCAACAACCACCACCAAGACCACCACGAAGAAACCAAGAACCACTCGAAAACGCAAACCACCAACAACCACCACCAAGACCACCACGAAGAAACCAAGAACCACTCGAAAACGCAAACCACCAACAACCACCACCAAGACCACCACGAAGAAACCAAGAACCACTCGAAAACGCAAACCACCAACAACCACCACCAAGACCACCACGAAGAAACCAAGAACCACTCGAAAACGCAAACCACCAACAACCACCACCAAGACCACCACGAAGAAACCAAGAACCACTCGAAAACGCAAACCACCAACAACCACCACCAAGACCACCACGAAGAAACCAAGAACCACTCGAAAACGCAAACCACCAACAACCACCACCAAGACCACCACGAAGAAACCAAGAACCACTCGAAAACGCAAACCACCAACAACCACCACCAAGACCACCACGAAGAAACCAAGAACCACTCGAAAACGCAAACCACCAACAACCACCACCAAGACCACCACGAAGAAACCAAGAACCACTCGAAAACGCAAACCACCAACAACCACCACCAAGACCACCACGAAGAAACCAAGAACCACTCGAAAACGCAAACCACCAAAACCACCACCAAGACCACCACGAAGAAACCAAGAACCACTCGAAAACGCAAACCACCAACAACCACCACCAAGACCACCACGAAGAAACCAAGAACCACTCGAAAACGCAAACCACCAACAACCACCACCAAGACCACCACGAAGAAACCAAGAACCACTCGAAAACGCAAACCACCAACAACCACCACCAAGACCACCACGAAGAAACCAAGAACCACTCGAAAACGCAAACCACCAACAACCACCACCAAGACCACCACGAAGAAACCAAGAACCACTCGAAAACGCAAACCACCAACAACCACCACCAAGACCACCACGAAGAAACCAAGAACCACTCGAAAACGCAAACCACCAACAACCACCACCAAGACCACCACGAAGAAACCAAGAACCACTCGAAAACGCAAACCACCAACAACCACCACCAAGACCACCACGAAGAAACCAAGAACCACTCGAAAACGCAAACCACCAACAACCACCACCAAGACCACCACGAAGAAACCAAGAACCACTCGAAAACGCAAACCACCAACAACCACCACCAAGACCACCACGAAGAAACCAAGAACCACTCGAAAACGCAAACCACCAACAACCACCACCAAGACCACCACGAAGAAACCAAGAACCACTCGAAAACGCAAACCACCAACAACCACCACCAAGACCACCACGAAGAAACCAAGAACCACTCGAAAACGCAAACCACCAACAACCACCACCAAGACCACCACGAAGAAACCAAGAACCACTCGAAAACGCAAACCACCAACAACCACCACCAAGACCACCACGAAGAAACCAAGAACCACTCGAAAACGCAAACCACCAACAACCACCACCAAGACCACCACGAAGAAACCAAGAACCACTCGAAAACGCAAACCACCAACAACCACCACCAAGACCACCACGAAGAAACCAAGAACCACTCGAAAACGCAAACCACCAACAACCACCACCAAGACCACCACGAAGAAACCAAGAACCACTCGAAAACGCAAACCACCAACAACCCCACCAACCACCAAGACCACCACGAAGAAACCAAGAACCACTCGAAAACGCAAACCACCAACAACCACCACCAAGACCACCACGAAGAAACCAAGAACCACTCGAAAACGCAAACCACCAACAACCACCACCAAGACCACCACGAAGAAACCAGGAACCACTCGAAAACGCAAACCACCAACAACCACCACCAAGACCACCACGAAGAAACCAAGAACCACTCGAAAACGCAAACCACCAACAACCACCACCAAGACCACCACGAAGAAACCAAGAACCACTCGAAAACGCAAACCACCAACAACCACCACCAAGACCACCACGAAGAAACCAAGAACCACTCGAAAACGCAAACCACCAACAACCACCACCAAGACCACCACGAAGAAACCAAGAACCACTCGAAAACGCAAACCACCAACAACCACCACCAAGACCACCACGAAGAAACCAAGAACCACTCGAAAACGCAAACCACCAACAACCACCACAAGACCACCACGAAGAAACCAAGAACCACTCGAAAACGCAAACACCAACAACCACCACCAAGACCACCACGAAGAAACCAGAACCACTCGAAAACGCAAACCCCAACAACCACCACCAAGACCACCACGAAGAAACCAAGAACCACTCGAAAACGCAAACCACCAACAACCACCACCAAGACCACCACGAAGAAACCAAGAACCACTCGAAAACGCAAACCACCAACAACCACCACCAAGACCACCACGAAGAAACCAAGAACCACTCGAAAACGCAAACCACCAACAACCACCACCAAGACCACCACGAAGAAACCAAGAACCACTCGAAAACGCAAACCACCAACAACCACCACCAAGACCACCACGAAGAAACCAAGAACCACTCGAAAACGCAAACCACCAACAACCACCACCAAGACCACCACGAAGAAACCAAGAACCACTCGAAAACGCAAACCACCAACAACCACCACCAAGACCACCACGAAGAAACCAAGAACCACTCGAAAACGCAAACCACCAACAACCACCACCAAGACCACCACGAAGAAACCAAGAACCACTCGAAAACGCAAACCACCAACAACCACCACCAAGACCACCACGAAGAAACCAAGAACCACTCGAAAACGCAAACCACCAACAACCACCACCAAGACCACCACGAAGAAACCAAGAACCACTCGAAAACGCAAACCACCAACAACCACCACCAAGACCACCACGAAGAAACCAAGAACCACTCGAAAACGCAAACCACCAACAACCACCACCAAGACCACCACGAAGAAACCAAGAACCACTCGAAAACGCAAACCACCAACAACCACCACCAAGACCACCACGAAGAAACCAAGAACCACTCGAAAACGCAAACCAACAACCACCACCAAGACCACCACGAAGAAACCAAGAACCACTCGAAAACGCAACCACCAACAACCACCACCAAGACCACCACGAAGAAACCAAGAACCACTCGAAAACGCAAACCACCAACCACCAACAACCACCACCAAGACCACCACGAAGAAACCAAGAACCACTCGAAAACGCAAACCACCAACAACCACCACCAAGACCACCACGAAGAAACCAAGAACCACTCGAAAACGCAAACCACCAACAACCACCACCAAGACCACCACGAAGAAACCAAGAACCACTCGAAAACGCAAACCACCAACAACCACCACCAAGACCACCACGAAGAAACCAAGAACCACTCGAAAACGCAAACCACCAACAACCACCACCAAGACCACCACGAAGAAACCAAGAACCACTCGAAAACGCAAACCACCAACAACCACCACCAAGACCACCACGAAGAAACCAAGAACCACTCGAAAACGCAAACCACCAACAACCACCACCAAGACCACCACGAAGAAACCAAGAACCACTCGAAAACGCAAACCACCAACAACCACCACCAAGACCACCACGAAGAAACCAAGAACCACTCGAAAACGCAAACCACCAACAACCACCACCAAGACCACCACGAAGAAACCAAGAACCACTCGAAAACGCAAACCACCAACAACCACCACCAAGACCACCACGAAGAAACCAAGAACCACTCGAAAACGCAAACCACCAACAACCACCACCAAGACCACCACGAAGAAACCAAGAACCACTCGAAAACGCAAACCACCAACAACCACCACCAAGACCACCACGAAGAAACCAAGAACCACTCGAAAACGCAAACCACCAACAACCACCACCAAGACCACCACGAAGAAACCAAGAACCACTCGAAAACGCAAACCACCAACAACCACCACCAAGACCACCACGAAGAAACCAAGAACCACTCGAAAACGCAAACCACCAACAACCACCACCAAGACCACCACGAAGAAACCAAGAACCACTCGAAAACGCAAACCACCAACAACCACCACCAAGACCACCACGAAGAAACCAAGAACCACTCGAAAACGCAAACCACCAACAACCACCACCAAGACCACCACGAAGAAACCAAGAACCACTCGAAAACGCAAACCACCAACAACCACCACCAAGACCACCACGAAGAAACCAAGAACCACTCGAAAACGCAAACCACCAACAACCACCACCAAGACCACCACGAAGAAACCAAGAACCACTCGAAAACGCAAACCACCAACAACCACCACCAAGACCACCACGAAGAAACCAAGAACCACTCGAAAACGCAAACCACCAACAACCACCACCAAGACCACCACGAAGAAACCAAGAACCACTCGAAAACGCAAACCACCAACAACCACCACCAAGACCACCACGAAGAAACCAAGAACCACTCGAAAACGCAAACCACCAACAACCACCACCAAGACCACCACGAAGAAACCAAGAACCACTCGAAAACGCAAACCACCAACAACCACCACCAAGACCACCACGAAGAAACCAAGAACCACTCGAAAACGCAAACCACCAACAACCACCACCAAGACCACCACGAAGAAACCAAGAACCACTCGAAAACGCAAACCACCAACAACCACCACCAAGACCACCACGAAGAAACCAAGAACCACTCGAAAACGCAAACCACCAACAACCACCACCAAGACCACCACGAAGAAACCAAGAACCACTCGAAAACGCAAACCACCAACAACCACCACCAAGACCACCACGAAGAAACCAAGAACCACTCGAAAACGCAAACCACCAACAACCACCACCAAGACCACCACGAAGAAACCAAGAACCACTCGAAAACGCAAACCACCAACAACCACCACCAAGACCACCACGAAGAAACCAAGAACCACTCGAAAACGCAAACCACCAACAACCACCACCAAGACCACCACGAAGAAACCAAGAACCACTCGAAAACGCAAACCACCAACAACCACCACCAAGACCACCACGAAGAAACCAAGAACCACTCGAAAACGCAAACCACCAACAACCACCACCAAGACCACCACGAAGAAACCAAGAACCACTCGAAAACGCAAACCACCAACAACCACCACCAAGACCACCACGAAGAAACCAAGAACCACTCGAAAACGCAAACCACCAACAACCACCACCAAGACCACCACGAAGAAACCAAGAACCACTCGAAAACGCAAACCACCAACAACCACCACCAAGACCACCACGAAGAAACCAAGAACCACTCGAAAACGCAAACCACCAACAACCACCACCAAGACCACCACGAAGAAACCAAGAACCACTCGAAAACGCAAACCACCAACAACCACCACCAAGACCACCACGAAGAAACCAAGAACCACTCGAAAACGCAAACCACCAACAACCACCACCAAGACCACCACGAAGAAACCAAGAACCACTCGAAAACGCAAACCACCAACAACCACCACCAAGACCACCACGAAGAAACCAAGAACCACTCGAAAACGCAAACCACCAACAACCACCACCAAGACCACCACGAAGAAACCAAGAACCACTCGAAAACGCAAACCACCAACAACCACCACCAAGACCACCACGAAGAAACCAAGAACCACTCGAAAACGCAAACCACCAACAACCACCACCAAGACCACCACGAAGAAACCAAGAACCACTCGAAAACGCAAACCACCAACAACCACCACCAAGACCACCACGAAGAAACCAAGAACCACTCGAAAACGCAAACCACCAACAACCACCACCAAGACCACCACGAAGAAACCAAGAACCACTCGAAAACGCAAACCACCAACAACCACCACCAAGACCACCACGAAGAAACCAAGAACCACTCGAAAACGCAAACCACCAACAACCACCACCAAGACCACCACGAAGAAACCAAGAACCACTCGAAAACGCAAACCACCAACAACCACCACCAAGACCACCACGAAGAAACCAAGAACCACTCGAAAACGCAAACCACCAACAACCACCACCAAGACCACCACGAAGAAACCAAGAACCACTCGAAAACGCAAACCACCAACAACCACCACCAAGACCACCACGAAGAAACCAAGAACCACTCGAAAACGCAAACCACCAACAACCACCACCAAGACCACCACGAAGAAACCAAGAACCACTCGAAAACGCAAACCACCAACAACCACCACCAAGACCACCACGAAGAAACCAAGAACCACTCGAAAACGCAAACCACCAACAACCACCACCAAGACCACCACGAAGAAACCAAGAACCACTCGAAAACGCAAACCACCAACAACCACCACCAAGACCACCACGAAGAAACCAAGAACCACTCGAAAACGCAAACCACCAACAACCACCACCAAGACCACCACGAAGAAACCAAGAACCACTCGAAAACGCAAACCACCAACAACCACCACCAAGACCACCACGAAGAAACCAAGAACCACTCGAAAACGCAAACCACCAACAACCACCACCAAGACCACCACGAAGAAACCAAGAACCACTCGAAAACGCAAACCACCAACAACCACCACCAAGACCACCACGAAGAAACCAAGAACCACTCGAAAACGCAAACCACCAACAACCACCACCAAGACCACCACGAAGAAACCAAGAACCACTCGAAAACGCAAACCACCAACAACCACCACCAAGACCACCACGAAGAAACCAAGAACCACTCGAAAACGCAAACCACCAACAACCACCACCAAGACCACCACGAAGAAACCAAGAACCACTCGAAAACGCAAACCACCAACAACCACCACCAAGACCACCACGAAGAAACCAAGAACCACTCGAAAACGCAAACCACCAACAACCACCACCAAGACCACCACGAAGAAACCAAGAACCACTCGAAAACGCAAACCACCAACAACCACCACCAAGACCACCACGAAGAAACCAAGAACCACTCGAAAACGCAAACCACCAACAACCACCACCAAGACCACCACGAAGAAACCAAGAACCACTCGAAAACGCAAACCACCAACAACCACCACCAAGACCACCACGAAGAAACCAAGAACCACTCGAAAACGCAAACCACCAACAACCACCACCAAGACCACCACGAAGAAACCAAGAACCACTCGAAAACGCAAACCACCAACAACCACCACCAAGACCACCACGAAGAAACCAAGAACCACTCGAAAACGCAAACCACCAACAACCACCACCAAGACCACCACGAAGAAACCAAGAACCACTCGAAAACGCAAACCACCAACAACCACCACCAAGACCACCACGAAGAAACCAAGAACCACTCGAAAACGCAAACCACCAACAACCACCACCAAGACCACCACGAAGAAACCAAGAACCACTCGAAAACGCAAACCACCAACAACCACCACCAAGACCACCACGAAGAAACCAAGAACCACTCGAAAACGCAAACCACCAACAACCACCACCAAGACCACCACGAAGAAACCAAGAACCACTCGAAAACGCAAACCACCAACAACCACCACCAAGACCATCACGGATTCACCAATCGCGACTATCATATTGAAACCAACAGCTACCATGAATATGTCGGATAAAGGAAATAAGTCGTGTGTATCTGATTCCGTCAATATATTTGCTAATGTATTTTTTAATCAATATGCTTCTTTTTTATTTCCCGGTCGTTTCGGTGGTTCGGAGCATCGTTTAAACATCTCGATTTCTTCTGGTAATTCCTCTCGTTCTGCTTGGTCATTTCTGTGTTTTCCTGCCCTTTTCAGCTGTAATTGATTTGTTGGACTTTGTCTTTTCGATGAGAAATTTTATATTGCCTCAATTTCATTTTTTGTTAGTAATTTCCTATTCACTTGTTCGTTTGCATTGGATTTTATTGTGCTTAAATTTTTGACATTCTTTTGGTGTCAATTTGTTCATTACTTTGTTGTCTACTGCAATTTGCCATTCCTTTTCTGTAATCACTGCGAGAAATATGTTTGTTTCTCCATATCTTCTTTTAAGCAGTTTGCTAATATATTGTAACTTATATTTTGTTTTGAATGAATTATTTCTTTCCTCAGTATGTTACTGTCTTTTTTCTTCCTTGAAGGTCCAAACTATTTCAGGTCCGATGTATTTTAGGTATTTTTTCACCGTTACGTATTTAGGTGGGTGTTAATTGTTTCCACGGTATTTGAGAATTTACTCGATGCCATTTGGTCCCTATTGTTTCTTGCAATGTAATCTAGAAGGCCCTTTCCGTTTCTTTTAGAAATCATCTGTAGGATGTTACACAATATTCAGTGTCTTATGGCACTGCCTTGGAAATACGAACCCCGCACTCATCTTTTCATTGGTTGTGGTGTAATCCACTGGAGCGTAAAATGCCTCAAACCTCTTACGTATTTGTTAATTATTCTGTATTCCTGGCTGCTTTATGATACGTAGTATAAAACCGTAGCATGACGGCTTTGACTACTTCTCAATGTTAACATGATGTTATACGGTTGATGGGATTGGTGGTATTTAAGAACTGTCGGATGGCATATGCTAGCTTAATAGGGTGAGATAGATTAGAATAGCCCAGATTTGGTCGAGAGCAGGAACATATTCCAGAAGCATTATTTTAATCATTGGATGCTGACTACAACACATCAAAGTAGAATTTTAACATAAAAAATGTGATATGATTTTGTGGAATAGAATGCGAATCGAGTTTTAATGATTATTGACACTTTCAAGGAAGGCATTTCTTCAGCATTCAAGGGATTAACTTATACCTCCTCAGAGATTTCTAAAATTCGTTCTAGGTATCTTTCCCCATGTAACAAAGTGTACTTATGACAATCATTGATTGCTCTAGTACACTGAATGAATGATAATAGCTTTATTCTGAAACAGTACTTGCGATACAGAATGGAATTCTCAGCATTTTACTACAGTATTGCAACCAGTTAGTAAATTAACAATAAAAATGAAATTCTACATAGATTAAGGGTAATCTCAGTTAGTTTTGACAACAAAATATTAGGATGTCGGTAGCAAAGCCAAAATTAAACAGTGTTTGAAGGTGCTAGAAAAGTAGATTCTAGCATATTTACTGGCGTAAGCAGAAGAAAGAAATAAAGCTGCACATAACAGAAGCAAAGAGAGGGAAAAGGAAAAGAAAGAAAGAAAACGTTGTATCTATACATGATATGAGTTGGAAAGACGAGATCCAATTGTGTTCTACTGACGGTTTAATAAGTTAAAGGTTTCACGTCTAATGCTTTCTTTATCGCACAAAACACGAGCTATTTAGGGTATGGATGAGTTTTTGTACTTTCTAGTGCGAGCATATAGTTTTCTATATAGGCTTCTGGTTTTCCATGAAGAGATACAAGGGGGAGTTGTGAATGAAGAAGGTGTTGTGAGTTAGATGAAATGGATTTTGACCATTTTTCACATGAGTCCATGTGCCTGTCAACCAGAATATTAACAAGCTGGAGAAATGGTATATTATTCTATGTACCTGAAGTGTGAATTATTCTGAATTATTCAAAAAGATCCCTTCTTATACAAATCGAGGATTGAAAATAAAATCATTCGTACACTTTTCGCAAACTAAGTGATTATCTTGTCAGATTCATAAAAAGGTATCAGTCAAGAGAAGAAACTGGTGAGTCACTGGATAGCTTACAGTTTTTTCGAATGTCATGAACAACTGTGTGACTCACGAGCCAGGCATTTTACAATATACGAACCAACTGAATTGCTATGCTATATTTCGAGGAAACTGTGCATCGGTTCCACAGTGGTAGAATGATCGGTGACCAAGCATGTGGTTCGTGGTTCGATCCCTGTCCGACGCACTCCTTTACTTCACCGAACCAGTAATAAGACTTATAAAGAGGGAAGGTTGGGCATGAGGCTAGGAGCCCCATCCCGCAGAAAATAAACATCACTATTATCAAAACTTCAAGCCTGTAGACTGAAGCTCTATGTTCCATTGTGAACGTAAACGAAAAAGAAAAATCTTGAGTAAACTTAATACTCCAAATGCGTGAATATCATAGTTAAAATCGACTTCAGAGACAATCAGTGAAAAATTTCATCACTATAGTAATGCATACAGCTACACATATTATTAAGATTAGTTTATATTTATTAAACGGACGATTCCGAATGTATTTCACTTATCATATATAAAAAACTTTGAACAATGAGGGAAAACGGGACATACCGAGACCTATCATGAGCACAATATCCAATTGTAATTTTATCAATACTATATGCCTGAAGAACTCGTTTGGAGAATAGTATTCACCAATTGATTGCAGTGCTGTATTTTACAGAGGATTCGCTCGCTCGCTCGATCACTCACCTACTCACTCACTCAGTCACTCAGACACTCATCTACTGCCTAACTGCTTTATTGTGTGTGTGTGTGTGTGTGTTGAGATCTCAATCGAACCATTGACACGATGCTACCAATATCATCATTGTTCATTCATTGAAGATCAAAGGAATAGTAATTAGTTCCGAATATCACCTTTTGATTCAACTCGAAAGTGGTATATACACCCAGTGTCAGCTTATCATTTGTCATGTGAGAGCGGAGAGTGTTTGACATCAAAGTGTAGTACATTTCTTTGTGTATATACCTTGTTTCTATGTTGGACAAGCCACTCGCCGAAAGTCAGTAAGGCTTGTTCAGTAGTAATGAGAGTAGACAAGCTGACTTGACTATTAGCCTCACACATCCAGCATGAAAATGTTCAGTAGCGTATAAACTGATTGTCATATGTTAACTGTAGAAATATGTTTATTTGTATATTTTGAGTCAATTTCGATTTAGGTATATCGAGTTACTTTGACTACACCGCACAATATGACCCTGTAAAGGAAACAGATTTACTGATGAATCAAAAAGCGTATTACACTAGAATCATGATTTGATTTACTTCACATTTGTTGAGCAGCGTACATTCATCACAGAATAATTGTTAAAATTGATTCCCAAATTACAGTGACTGAAGTAATAGAGAAGGTGAACATAGTACTCACAGTGATTCATCTTACCATTTAATCGGCAGAACAAATCGTGTTGAAAGTCTGTAACATCTACCCTAAGAAACATTTTATGCACACCAGGATTACATTGTCACACTGGAGAGGAGATCGATAAATCCAAATCACCATTTATCAGAATACAGTCACCTTGATCAAAACCTGGAAATAAAATTTCACACGTATTTCCTACTTACCAAGAATCAGCCAACACTTGAATATGTGGTAGACGTTATAACACTCTCGGAGGATAATGTATCTGAACAAGTAGTGGTACGATGATTTTACATGAAGGATATAGTATACCTGCTTCATTCACAACAGAAAACACTTAGTGAACAAAAGCACAATAACAAGCCCATCGGCCAATGTAGTCAATATATATATTTCCCACTCCATGTTGTTAAGCTTAAATGCGTGACCAGTTAACTGGAGATCATTTAGGAACAACCAGATGTAAGATGATAACCTGCAAAATGAATGAAATGGTCAACTATGCTCCTTTGACAAAATATTCTGGCTTATTTGGTGTGAATTAGAAGAGAACTGTGAATGACTGATGAGTTAGAGGCCTAATCATCGTATAGAATTATCCAGTTCTGCATATTTGCTAACCAGACTGAGCGGCCAAATTATCCAATCGATATAGGCATCAAGGCTACAGGAACCAGCAAACTACGCTTATCGTCACTTTACTCAACTTCGTCCAGTCATTATTATTGGTAAGCTAGGTGGTTTATTTCTACTCACGTAAACAATTCAGAGTATTCAATTTACCGGACTATCGATGGATGCATCATGGCGCTTCTTCTCTTTCCCGCCTAACAAATGAGAAACAAAAATCCCGGAAAGGCTTGGAAATTTGATCACAATCAGGAGAGACATATTCCACTGAAGTTATGCAATATGATTTGTATTGCGATTCTCCACATTACAGATGCTAAAACAACTCACACAGTTAAAAAGGGCGATAGAAAATATCAACGATTAAACAATCGTATATCTTTACAAGCGTTCGAACTTCACAAATGTGTCATTTTATTGGGATGAGCACACTCGCCTATCCGAACATACCAGATTAGCTGATACATCAGTGGTGCAGTGTAGTCAGATGATGTGTGTCTCAGTGTATCGCATTACTCGTTTATACTGACTACAGAAATCCGTGATAACTCCAGTTCTGAAATATCCAGTTTACTGGCGGTAATCACCTGTTCTGCAAAATGATTTCAAGATTGTTCATAGAGTTCAGGTAAAGATTTACTACGTTTCCTCCTTTCTCAACTCCATGAAATAGCGGAATCCATAATTATTCATGAATTGAAACCATAGAATTATCGTGTACAAACAAAGTATGCACCATACTACCCACAATTACAACTTGAAATTAGAGCGAGTAATAATGGCGAGAAGAAGAGAAGAAACATTATTTCGCTTCCTTAAATTCAT